ATCTGAATCCTGGGTTGTGCGAAATCCCAGAAATACACCTTAGACAAACTGAATCTGTGAACTAAGGTGTAGGTCTGTTAGGTCATGTTGTGGTGATCCTCGGGTTGGGGGATGAGTGTTCATACTAGAGTGCAAAATTAAAACATATGCAAGACGGACAAGAAAAGTTCAAAGCCATCAGGTGCTCAGTTTAGAAAAAATAGAAAAGCAGGATAAACGAGCAAAAGATGCAGGTGTGATTGGATAATGGCAGCTCATCCTGAACCAATCAGAGTCAGAATACTTTATTAATCCCTAAGGAAATTATGTGGGTTACAGTTGCTCCAAGAAGAAATGGTAAAAATAGCAACAGATTAAACTCCAAACATGTATTTACACATGTAAGAAATAGCACTAATATATACAGATCACTCAATTATAAATATCAAGGATTAACAGAGGTGATTGACGAGAATATTCCAGAGCAGTAAAAAGCGTGTGTAAAAAGGATGTAACTATTGCAGTGTCTACAGTGTGTTCGATGGAGGAGTTGTACAGGGAGACGGCCACAGGCAGGAATGATTTCCGGTGTCCTTCAGTGGTGCTCTTTGGTGACCTCAGTCTCTCACTGAGCGTGCTCCTGTGACTAGTCAGTACGTCATGGAGTGGGTGGGAGGTGTTCTCCATGATTGTCCTTATCTTGGACAACATCGGCCTCTCAGACACCACCCTAACAGAGTCCAGCTCCATCCCCACAACATTACTGGCCTTGTGGATCAGTGACCCTCAACCACTCATAGCACTGACCACAGAGATACAACAAGAAAACATTCATTAGCAGGGATAGTGGAAACGTCTGTTTACGTTTGTAAGCCACTTGGCTATGATAGTAAACAGTAGACACTGATGTAGCCGACTGAATCTTTTGGACTGTTTCCAGCACAATATTAATTAATCATTGTCAATTTGTCCTTTTCTCATTGTACAACAAATTATGATTGAGGGAGGGTTCGCCCAGAGCGCCAAACAGGCTAGGACCGCCACTGCCCAGGACTCCCAGAAACCTGACAGCATCACAGGAAACAGGAAGCCAGGCTGTGACGGTGACGTGTGTCCACCAGAGGGCAGAGTTTCAGTGCCTTTGAGGCACCTGATCTTTGAAGGAAAGAAAGACACCTGACAGCTTCAGTGACGTCACCAAACTCTTAAAAACTGAACACGTGATCATGTTTCGAGCTTCTGCTTTCTTCCTAATATCTGGATAATTAATTGATAACTAATTTATCGCGTGTTATTGGTGGACCATCAGAGGTGTTCACATCTCCTTTAATTCATATCGTTTTCTTATATGACAGAGGTTAAAGTTCAGCTTACGTCTCATCGCAGACTCAGTGTCCCACGTTTTATTATTATGGTGCTGATTAACAACAACCCAAAAATGGCAATAAAGGAAGAAAAAAAAATTCTTCAGAATTCAGCCTGTGTACATGCAAAATATTTAAATGGCTTTTATATGTAAATGAAAAACAAAAGAACGAGTTTATAACGTATCCTTTTAATTATCGCGCCCACAAAAATATATGAATGAAACGAAACCTGTAAGTTAATTTTTCTTTGTCTGGTACGATAAACTTTTTTCCTATAATCCGCTGATGATGTTTTATTTTAAAACTATAGTTTTTTTTAAAGAACTCTTATAAACGCCGGAGGTCACCGAGAGCAGCTGGAAAAGCAGTTTTATTTATAAGGTTCTGTGAGGCGAAGACTGAAGCTGTGCAGGACCGAGAGCGACACACAGCGAGGAAGTCTAAACAAACTGTTTCACGACCTGCAGGCAGGAAAGCTCAGTTCAGACTCACCTTCATCAAACGTGCGGCTCCGTGAGTGCGCTCGCTCTGCAGCAGCGAGGATCTGCACCTCCTCCTCCTCACTCCGAGGAGCTCTTCTCTGAAAGCAGCTGCTGTGGATCCGCATCAGACACACCTGCACTTGAAGAAAAACGGGAAACCTTCAGATTTCTGTCAAAGAAACCAACACAGAACTTAATTACTGCTCCAGCTTATCCCCGGAAGGAGGTCGCGGGTCCATTAAAGGTAACGCAGACGGACACCTGAGAGACCCTGACAGGCACAGACAGGTGTGCGCAGCAGCAGCAGGGGTTCCGGGCCTGGCTAGAGTGTCTGTGGCTCTCTGCAGGTACCCTCCCACAGTGGGACACACACGTCGGGTCGGCTAGTGCACCTGTTAGCCCTGCGACGGGTGGAGACATGTCCAGATGGTGCCTGGGTCTGCTCCTGAGAACCGGATCACTCGTTAATGAAACTGCTGTTTCCAAAGTTTGTTAAACAGTAGGTGGAAGTGTTTGTTTCTCCCGTGACCTGTTAACACGAGAGCAGACGTCTTTGGCACATTAAAAACATAAAGAAACTGAAGCAAACGAACTCGGCGTGAACTTTCCACACTTCGGTTCAGATATTTTACTTCAGCCTGGAGGTGATTTTGTTTCGGGGTTGTTGTTTTTTTGGTTGTTCTTTTACAGACCGAAACATTTGAAGTGTGCGTTTCACGTGCGCTATATGTAAGTGTTGAAGAGCTCTGAGCTCGCGTGGATTGAGTATACCGGAGGGAGGGAGGGACAGTCCGAGTGTCCATGGAGACTTTCTACAACCACACGCGGAACCAGCGGCAGGACCAGAGCCAGCACCCAGTGGTCACGGCGGCAGCGGACAGCCCCGCGCACGGGAGTGACCTCAGCCTCCGCGCGCTCACCGGATGCGTCCTGTGCGTCCTGATCGTGTCCACGCTGCTGGGGAACGCGCTGGTGTGCGCCGCCGTCATCAAGTTCCGCCACCTTCGCTCCAAAGTCACCAACGCCTTCGTCATCTCTCTGGCCGTGTCCGACCTGTTCGTGGCCGTGCTAGTGATGCCGTGGAGGGCCGTGTCCGAGGTGGCCGGCGTCTGGCTGTTCGGCCGCTTCTGCGACACGTGGGTGGCGTTCGACATCATGTGCTCCACGGCCTCTATCCTCCACCTGTGCATCATCAGCATGGACCGCTACTGGGCCATCTCCAGCCCGTTTCGCTACGAGCGCAGGATGACGCGCAGGTTCGCGTGCGTGATGATCGGTGTGGCGTGGACGCTGTCTGTGCTCATCTCCTTCATCCCCGTGCAGCTCAACTGGCACCGCGCGGGCGCGCAGAACGCCACGGACCCGGGGGACTGCAACGCGAGCCTGAATCGCACCTATGCCATCTCCTCTTCCCTCATCAGCTTCTACATCCCCGTGCTCATCATGGTGGGCACGTACACGCGCATCTTCCGCATCGCGCGCACGCAGATCCGGCGGATCTCGTCGCTAGAGAGGGGCTGCCGCGCCGTGCACCGGCGGCCCCGCGCCTCCGCGCACGAGGAGAGCTCTCTGAAAACTTCCTTGCGCCGCGAGACCAAAGTGCTGAAGACGCTGTCGGTCATCATGGGCGTGTTCGTGTTCTGCTGGCTGCCGTTCTTCGTGCTCAACTGCATGGTTCCCTTCTGCCGCCTGGAGCGCCTGGGCGCGCCGCCCTGCGTCAGCGACACCACGTTCAGCGTGTTCGTGTGGTTCGGCTGGGCCAACTCGTCCCTGAACCCGGTCATCTACGCCTTCAACGCAGACTTCCGGAAGGCCTTCTCCACCATCCTGGGCTGCAGCCGCTACTGCGCCACCTCGGCGGTGGAGGCGGTGGACTTCAGTAACGAGCTGGCGTCCCACCACGACACCACCCTGCAGAAGGAGGTGTGCGGTGCGCCGGCGGAGCTCGAGCGCGACTTCGATAAAGTTTCGGCCATTTCCGGTGATTCCAGGAACCACCGGAACTTGCTGCTGCCCGCCATCCTGCGGCACGAGTGGGAGGCCGAGATCTCTCTGGACATGATGCCCTTTGGACACGATACACCGGCAGACTTTTACGTGATACCCGGTCAAGTCCAGGACCTGTGAGCAGACCGGGATTGACCTTTGACCTTCTGCTTAAACGAGAGGAGAGGATTTTTTTCCTGTTGTCAGGTCATTTAAGTGTGGACGATTTTTCCATCAAACATTTGAGAGGATGTAAAAAAAAAAAAAAAAAAAAAAAAAAAAAAATGGATACTCATCATTATCATCATCCCGACTTCAGATGGAAGGCAGGAGGTAGTCCCGTGTTTGTCACTCTGAGCTCTGTTCTGCTCATTCCCAATATAACAACATCTGGACATAAAAACAGATAACAGAGTTTGTCTGAGTCACTGGAACGCCTTACCATTTCCTGTTAATGCTCTTTATACATTAAACTCTTTGCTTGAGACTCACTTCGACTCTTTCATTTGGACCAAACCTCCACAGTTTTGGTTCCTCTGGTACTTTCCCCACCACCACGTGAAGCTTGAGAAGATCTGACTAAAAGCACAAATCCAAAATGATCCATTGAGTCAAACAGGCAGTTGTGTGTTTGTCAAATGTCACTGCACATTTGTTGGAATTCTGCTCAAATCTGAATTTTAAAAACAAACCTCATCCTGCTTTATGATCATTGAGTTGCTTTTCTAAATCCTGATTTCAGTGTTAAACTTCATGATTGATCACACAGACTAACAACCAATCAGTTGTTGCTACCACGACATGATGACATATACTTTTACTGATATATTTGGTGTCCAGTATTCAGACACTGCATGGACCCCTTCGTGGCTCTGATGATGTGTTTGCGTGTTACAGCCCACGCAGGGAGTTCAGGGTTTTCTTTTGTAATGAAATAAGTGAAACAGACACAATTTATATGTTCGTGACTTTTTTTCCCTCTTCTTGTCATAGCAAATAAATAAATAAATAAATAAATAAATAAAACCCACACACCAAACAGTGATAAACAAGCTTTAAAATAATTCATCATGTGTGAGTTTACATCAGCACTGTAAAAACAAGATTTTTCTGTCGCCGAGTTTTCAGTTTATAGTAAAATGTAAACTTGTGTTTACAGCACCGTTCACAGGCTTTTCCTCTCACTGTTAAACCGATAACTCTTTAAAGGTACTTCTTTCCTTTAGCAGATCAATTTAATCAAAGATTCTTTGCTCAAGAATCCTTCATCTTTGTTTGAATCTGCAGCTGCTGAACAACAATACTGTGCACTTAACGACACAAATGAGGTTAAATATCTCAGGAACGTCAGGAGTGTCTGTCAGAGACTTTAAATGGCACCAAGCTAACAGGCTGAATGTCGGGAATGAGGGGAAAATCCATCCTGATTGTTCTCTGCTCTCGTTAGTGACACTGTCTGGATGGCACACATCATCACACATAAACTAATAAAGTTGTGTGATGTAATTCAAATGACCTTAAACTCACGGATATCAATGGTGGTTTGAATTTAAACCTAAACCCTGACTTGTACTTGATGCCCACAGATTGAAAGCTGTTTGATGTGAGTGTTCAGACCCACTGACTGAACCTCCCTTTGATATGGTAAAGATGGAGGACAGATCATTAATAACAATTACATCATTAATTTTGGCATCTAATTGGCCCTTCAGGTAATTGCAGGCTGTTGGAGTTTGTACATGCAAATTGAATGTGAAGCTGAACAAAAGCCAGATGAGCGTTTCCACGATGGAGTTTGCTGGAAAGCTTTGGGCTGCTGGTTGTCGGTGAGCTGAGGCAAAGCTCTGCAGACTCACAGAGACTGAAAACCTTTTCTAACAGCTCGTTTCAGACGGAGCAGGAACTGTGAGATAAAGGATTATTATAAAAAGCGATCATGCAAAGCTCCTTTAGCATAGTCCAAGAATGAAATTGAGCACAATAATTGCACTTTAAAGTTACTGTCATGTTGCTGTTTGAAGCTTTGGGTCAGTTCAAGATTAATGTCAGTATTTCAACTGTGTTGAGGTGAGGGAGAGCCAGACTGTCGTTTTACTGCACAGGAACCCGACAAGTCAGCGACTTTAATGTTAAATGTAGGACAAAAGGTGAAGGCAGCAGCATCACCATGCTTCCAGATTGGAGGGGGAAACGCAAATTTTCATCAACAGTCAAAAATAAAATAAAATAAAATAAAAGGGAAATTCAACAACCAAACTCAAGTCTGGCTTCAATGTCCCCCCCAAAAATGTCCCTGGGTGGAGATGTGGAACAGGTGGAGCACTGTGATGTTGAGTGGATCCAAATGGAGAGGTCAGAGCTGATTAGCATTCAGAGTCAAGGATGAAGGTCACAGAGAGCCCTGAGAAAGGAAGTTTGGGTGATCCGAGGCAGCTTGCAGGTGTCCTCTGGAGTGTCTCTCACTGATCCTGAAAACATGAACTCAGAGGAGAAATCGCTGCAGAGATTTCACCACGTTTGTTGTTCTGACTGTTACTGACAGACACCCAGCAGCCAATCCCAGCACACCAGGGTCCAGCATGGCGCTGAAAGTGTGGAGCTCCATCTCTCAGAAACATGTACAACAGGAAAAGCTGAAAATCAAAAATCATATTAACCACAAACTTTTCAGGTCATTAACAGCAAACACAGAAATCTGTTTGTGCCATTGTGGAAATGTTTCACTCTTTTATAAAACTGCAGCTCTTTCTACCCGATGAACATCAGTCAGCCCAGACTGAAATGTTACATGTGTGAGGCAGACACGTAATAAAAACAAGCGGAGAAACCATGTTGCACAGTCACATGATCATGATCATTGCAGCCTGTGTAATGCTCAACCACTGCATCAACAACTTGATTTTCAGCCCAGTGCATGCCCGCAAATCTCACTTATTCCCTGCAGTAATCAGCCATTTACAGGCTGTGAAGTTGGAATTTGCTCCAATCAGAAACTTCTGGAAATAAAGCATATGATGCATAGTGGGTGGGTCCAGCACTGGCAGAAATCAGAGAGAAATATCTTAATAGTAATATGCACAATTAACAAGCACCCTGAATTGGATAATTGAAGAAGTAAAACTTCTTCCAGGCGATGAAGTGCCAGAAATCCAAACTCCATTTCAATATGCAACAGATCTTTGAGATGTTTGTGTTGCCTTCAGATTGCTCTAAACAGTTGTTAGTCTGCACTCAGTCAGTGAAAACTGCTCCACTGTTCCCAATATCAATATGGAGTCTCCATCAGGTTCAGGACTATGTGAAACCTCTTGAGTGTTTATAGCAGCAGCATCAAGGCAACTGAGCAAATCACAAATTTATCCAAGTTTGTGCTCATAAATCAGCAGGATGACACGATGAAACGCTGTCGTCTGCATATAACTTTATATCTGTAATATATTTTAATCTGAGAAGTATGATAACCAGAATCTGTTATCCAAGCTGAGGTTTTAAGTACAGTCATCTTCCACTTCCCTCACCTATGGTGTGCCACAAGGTTCTGTATTGAGGCCCTTATTATATACATAATGCTGATTCAACGTTTCAGTTATGGACGTGCTTCTGTCACATTACATTCAGAGCTCTGTGCACTCAAACACACATCACTATGCTTATGTTTAACATAATGAAGATGTGACTACGACAACTCAGTCTATCTTGCACACCTGATTGGTCAGCTTAGTGCCTTCTTTGATAACATTTTGTTAAATAAACAGAAAAAGTGCTCAGTATTGCACCAGCTTCCCCTGTTTGAAGCTTTTGTTCCACATGTAGAAATGTTGCAGCAGCAGAGGTGAAAGGTTGCACAGAGAAACAGACAACCACATTTAAGAGCTCTTTGTGACACACTCTCTTTCATCTCCAGGAGAAAGCGGCCAGAATTGTGCTCGTGCCTTCTTTCATTCGCTCTCTGAAGTCACTCAGTGCCAATGCTGGCGTTTCAATGACAGCCAGGCGGATCGCCAGAGAAGATTAACAGTGTTCATCTTCTCCGAGGTATTCAAGTGTTTGCATAAAACACATACAACCACATGGAGGGAAAACATGAAGAGAAGAAACCAACAAATTCAACGATAGGGGAAACTCCCATTTCAAAATGTGTTCAAAATCGGAGCGCTTAGAATTAGAATAAAATAGAGTAGATTTGATTCATTTCTTCTGCCTTCATGATATAACAAAAATTATAATGTAAAATCAGTAATTTCTTAGTAAAAAGGATACTGTACTCAAATATACAGATTAGTGTCTAATTACATCTTCCATTAACCTGACCCATATAATTAATCTAGAATAAATATCAGTGGGTTGGCAGTTTGTGAAAGCCACTATCTGAATACAGTGGAGGGAAAGGACATCTGCCTTGCAACTAATGGTGTTTTACGTATGTGGTGCTAGAGAGCGGAGATGCAATGTGCAAACCGAAGGAGAAAGAAGTCAAAGGTGTTTGCGTGAAGGTACATTTAGATTCACTTCTGCACCGTCATACCCTACATTTTAGCCCCTTCACCAAAAACACAAGGAACGAGGACGCCACTGGCATCTTATTAAAATGTTGTCTTCATTTAAGTCAGAGCTCTAACACAAAAACACGCTCCCAGGTCAGACACGTCACCCTCTCATCTCTGGAAAAGCTGACAACAGCTAAATAACAGCAGTCAGTTATAAGCTAACATTAGGCTCCAATGCCCTAACAGTCGCTTTCCTGCTGATAAATCGTTCAACTGCGTCTCACCTGGCATTGAAAGCTGAGGTAAACAGCAGACTGACTGCCTTCTACAGTTGAAATTTAAGGTTTTGTCTCTGACAGATGAAAATAAGTTATCCTAGCCACTGTAGCCAGACTTACGCAAATACGTTTCTGGAAGTAATTCAGTAGAATTCTGCAAGCTGCTGACATCTGTTAAACTTTTACACTGTAGCTTTGTCAGTCCATGGTTTGACTTTGGGATCTGGGGTCTTGGTTGAGTATTTTCAGTATATTTGAGTTATTCTCACCATTTTAAGTCTTGAGTTGTAGTTGCTATAGTGTTGCCTTTCACTTCATTATGCTTTTCATCATCATTCATCCAATGTGACAGAATCACGTTGTTACCCATCACCTCTGACTGTGATGGTGTCAGGTTCAGCCAGTTAAGGCAGAGTCTGGCTATGTTGAATGTGTAAACGGCAAAGTGTCTGACATTGTCCACAAAAACCTAAAGCTGACCTAATGACTGGTTGCCCAGTAAAAGACTGGAGAACAGATTTTGTTGTTATAGTGCATTTAATGACCACATGATGCATGGAGGCCCAGGCTCAGCTCATCAAGTTGACCTGACACACACACACACACACACACGTAACTGTGCCTTACCTCAAACCTTTATCCTTTGAGAATCAGCCACTGGGACACTTTCTGGATTGTGTGGCAGCACGGGGCTTAGAGGGAAGGGGCTGTAGACATCGTCAGTGTATTTGGAGTAAGTGTGACCAAGTGGTCGGCGGGGTTATGAACAAAATAAATAAACTTGACAACGCCACCTAGGGGAATTACACCCCCAGGAAATATATTTAAGAAAAATAAAGAAAAGGAATAAAAGAAGACCGCACAGATTCAAGGATGCACACTGAGGCAGGTTGGCTTCCAATATTAAAACAGTTTTATTTATAGAAATGA